AGAGGGGGCGGCCGCTGCACGAGCCCAGCCCGCATGCTAGCGCGCCGGGCCCCTGCGGCACCCCGCCTGGGCCCGGGGCAAGGGGCGCGGGGTGGAGGGGGCAGGTGCCCCCCCACCAAGCCCGGCCGGGGCCGGTTCACGTGCCCGCAGCCGCCTCCGCGCACGGCCCCGCCTGCGTCACTGGTGCCCAGCTGGACGGAGCTGCTGCCTCCATTGCAGGCTCCTCGTCGCGGACCTATTTGCAGGCTTCCCCCCCATCGGGAAGAAGGATTTATTTGCATTTCTTGATCGGGGGTTTTTCGGGACGGGGTCTCTTAGGGCGCCTCATTCAGCTCACCCCCCTGCAGACCACCTCCCCCTCTTTTTGGTGGTGTGGTTTATTGGTCTCTTTTTTTCTGGGGAGCCCAACTTCTCCCAAATGACCTGGAGCAACGCCTGTGGGGGTCCCTCTGGTCTGCTCCCTCGTAACCCCCTGCTCAGGCGTGGAGCCCCGCTTGTAGGGCGCTCTGTCGGGGGACGAGTGAGCAGCGACCGTGCCAGCGTGGATCTGCAGTCCCTGGACACGCGCACGCACACGAGCAGGACTACTGACAAGCAAAGCACTTGGTGAAGGAAGAGCAATCGCCCTCTGCAAACCTCTCCCTAGATCCTGTAGCTGTACCTCTGGCAAGAACGAGTTAGCTACGTTTTCCAGAAGCCATTAGGACCCCTCCGCCTAGGACAAGACCATCTCGCCGCCTAGGCCTGGGCTCGCTCTCTCGGCAAGGGCAAAAGGCTTTACTTACCCGCACACCACAGTTGAATGCAGGTCTGGAGGTGAAGTTGTGTTGTTTGGCTTTTTAAGACAACAGGGGCAGATCTCTAGGATCTGTAGCACCACTTCTCTCGTAAGTCTTGTTTAGACATTTAGCCGGCTTTATGTGGCAATGGTGTGGCACCAAAACCAGGAGGAGGAAAAAAAAAAAAAAAAAAAAAAAAGCAACCAACCAAAAAACCCCAAAGCAAACAAAAAACCCTACAGAAAATGTTGTCCAGTGAGGCTGCCTGGCTGGATCCACCTCGGGCTTGGACTCGAGGCTTAAATCTACATTCCTGTGACAGATTTACTCTGTACATGGAGGAGGAAGAAGAGAAGAGGAAAAAAAAAAAAAAAAAAAAAAAGGACAGTCAGTGTTTTTCCACAGCTCCACAGACACTGAAAATGTCCTCCCTGGGTAGTTTTAGTCGAGACATGTTAGTGTGAAAACGCCTGGCGAACAGTTCCTGGCTGGAAAGAGCTCTGCACAGTTCTAGCTACAGAGATTTTGCTGGAGGTAAAAAAAAAAAAAATATATATATATATACTTCAAAAGCATCAACTGGTTTAGATCAAATAGACAAAAAACATCAGACATGCAAATGAAGGCTCGGAAATAAGGACAACTCGAGTAACATTAACATGAAAACTACACTTAGCAAGGACAGAATGGATTGGGTACTTACAATGTCAAAGAAACAAAAAAGTTTATCAGAGGCAAATAGCTTGTTTTTGTTGCCAGAACTCCTAAATCTAGAGTAAAACATTACCTCACAAAAGCACCAAAGGAGTGAATTACGGAAAAAAACGAAAAAAAGAACAACAAAAAACAAAACACAGAACAACTGGCCAGGTATTAAGTGTTTCATACAGGAAAGACTTTTTTTTTTTTTTTTTTTTTTTCTCTTCCTCTCTTGTTAAATGTATTGTTCGGTCCCTAGCTCGCCCTGCAGCTGAAAAACCCCCCACAAAAACATGTTCTTGACTGCTTTTTGCATTCAAAATTGTTACTGCTGACATGAGGGTGTGCCATGACCTAGTTACACAAGACAAAGATGGATTCCAAGTCATAGGGAAAAATCCGAATCTTTTTTATCTTCCTCCTTCGGCGAGTCCTCTAACAGGCTGCCAGGCACTACACACCGCCCCGAGCCGCCCTGCCCGGCCCGGCGGCTCCCCGCGCAGCATCCCCTTTAGGAACAAAGGAAAGCCCAGTTGGCCATTTAATTCCATTGCAGAAAAATGGCTCCCTGATCTGTTGGCCTCTCCTTAGCTGTCTGGTGAAGGATGTTTTTAGATCCGCGTCTAATAACTCAAGCCCGATGCAAGCTGCGCGCCGATTGGCTGCGGGCGCCTGCTGCCTGCCACCAGCCAATTACTTAACCAGGGCCAAATTACAAACCCAAAAAGCAGCGGCGGAGCCGAGACAAGAGGCAGCCGCCGGGGCCCCGCTTCCTCTGCCAGCGGGGACAAGATGGAAGCCGGCCGCTGATTGGCCGAGCCCGGCTCAGGACCTTGCCGGAGCACAAAATTGCTACTTTCCCCGCGGCTTCCCCATCCGCTGAAATTGACACATTGTCCCCGCTCGGAGCCGCCCTCGCCCCGGCCCCGGCCCCGGCCCCGGCCCCGGCCCCGCGTGGGGCCCCACACTTGCCCCCCTCTGCCCGTCTTGCATTAGAAACACTTTGCACCCAGGTAAATGCAGCCTGCAGATTCCAGGCACCGTCCTGCATGCGGGGCCCCCGGGGCCCGGCCCCCGCGCACGGCCGGGGGAAAAATGCGCCGGCTTTTATTTGCGGCGGGGAGGCGCGGAGGGGCGGCCGGGCTGGGGGGTTTGCAGCGCGCTGCAGCTGCCGTGAATGTGCAGTCGGTGGAGGGCGGTTAGCCATTAGCCGAGCTCCGGAGTGGTGTATTGTGGGATGCCTGAGAAGCAAGCAGAAAGCACAATATGTGTTGGCTCGCGAAAAAAAGGAGGCAGGAGCCTTTCCCGAGCAATGTAATGTAACCAGCCCGATGCGAGAAGGAGCTCGCCTTTGGCGGCCGGCAGGCGATCGGCCACCCCATGCAATGTCTTTCAAAGAGATCCAGGCAGGAGAGAAAGCCGCGCACCCTTGAAGACCCAGGCAAAAAACAGAGTTCAAGTGAGATGGGGTCTTTCTTGTTTTTTCCTCCCCTTGGCTGCCGCCGCTCTCCCCGGGCTGGGGGGAGGCTGGAGATGCGTGCCCGGGCGGGAGCCTGCCCGGCTGGTGGGCATCTCATCTCCCCCCCGGCTCGGCCGATCCTTAAAATGGGCTCCGTGGCCAGCAGGGTGGTGGTGGTTTTTTTTTTAACTTTGGGTGTATTTTTTTTTCTCTCTCTCTCTCTCTCTCTCTTTTTTTTTTTGTTTTGTTTTTTTGTTTTTTTGGTTCTGTTTTGTTTCCCCTCCAGGTCGGAGCCGCGGCATGGAGAACAACGCACCAGCCGGCGCTTCTGTCGAGAAGAGGAATCACCATTGGAGAAGTTACAAGTTGATTATTGACCCGGCTCTGAAAAAAGGACAGCACAAACTCTATCGTTACGATGGGCAGCATTTTAGCATGCCTGTGAGTAGCGGGGGGGGGGGCGGGGGAAAAAAGGACAGCACAAACTCTATCGTTACGATGGGCAGCATTTTAGCATGCCTGTGAGTGGCGGGGGGGGGGCTGGCTGGGGGTGGTGGATGCATTTCAGGATTGCTTTTTCGGGAAGTGATCGTGTCCCCCCCTCCCCTCCCCCCGGGTGCAGCACCCCGGGTGCAGCACCCCGGGCCGGGGCACGGGGCTGCTCCGGGCTGTGCTCGCTGGGCTTGTCACACGCTGGGAGGAGGGGTCGAGCCACGAAAGTTGCTGCCACCTGACACAACGTATTCAACTGTCAGCATCCCGGGCAGGAGCTCCGACCTCGGCTTTCTCCCTCCTGCTCCCAGTCTCTGCCCATGCCCCAGCAGCATTGCAACCTGACACGTGTGTGTGTGTGTGGCTCTTCCCGGGAGACTTCCCCAGCTTCCTTGTAGATGAGGGGGGGGATTTTTAATGATTATTATTGGCTTCAATTCCAAGCAGTATTTGTGCCTTTTTGTGTTATTCTCCTCCTCCCAGAACTCGGGAATTGCCCCGGTGGATTGTGTCAGAGATCCCAGGATAGGACGGATATGGACCAAAACCAAGGAGCTGGAGCTCTCTGTTCCCAAATTCAAGGTACCTGCCTTGGGGTTTCCTGGTTGTTTGGGGTTCCTCTGGCAGCTGGGGTGCGGGGAATGGAGCTCCAACGATTTAACGAGCGGTTGAAATGACAGCCAGGTCCTGATTAACACGCTCCCTTACCAATAATCCTGGTCCAGGAAGGCAACCAGAAATCAATGCCTGGCAGGATCAGTGTAAGCGTTTGGGAGACAACTTCCATGCTTCTGGGGAGAGGTGTGTGCTTGTTGATTGAGGAGCTGAAAATGCCACTTTGCACGAGAGAGGAGCCATTTCCCAATGAATTATTGACGGGGTGGAGGCTAAATTTCTTCCGTGACATTGTTGGAAGACAGTTGCTCTCCCCAGTCGGGTTTAACTCTCCCCGCGCTGAGCGGCTTGGGTGTCCGGCTGGGCCCTAACCGACTCCGCATCTGCCCCTCCAGATCGACGAGTTCTACGTGGGGCCGGTGCCCCCCAAGCAGGTCACCTTCGCCAAGCTGAATGACAACATCCGTGAAAACTTCCTGACCGACATGTGCAAGAAATACGGGGAGGTGGAAGAGGTGGAGATCCTCTACAACCCCAAGAACAAGAAGCACCTGGGCATTGCCAAAGTGATCTTTGCCACCGTCAAGGGGGCGCGAGAAGCCGTCCAGCACCTGCACAACACCTCGGTCATGGGCAACATCATCCACGTGGAGCTGGACACCAAAGGTGAGAGGCTGCCTGGGGGGCTCCAGCCCCTGCTGCCCGCACCCCCCCAGCTGCCAGCCCCCAAATGGGCAGGTCCCTGGGGCTGGAGGGCTTAAAAACCCTGCTCGGTGGCTGCTGCTCCCTCCCCCTCTTGTGTCTCTGCTGTTCCCTGGGCCAGTGGCAGTCACGTGGAGCTGAATGTGTTGTCTGTTGCTAGGAGACGGGCCTGTAATTTACAAAATGCTGCCATCCTGTCCATTTCACCCGCCCCCCCTGGCACAGGGCTCGGGGAGCTCTGCCCCGGCCATCGCCCCTGCCCCTTGGGGTGCTCTTCCCAGCTGCCCTGCCAGTGAGCTGGGGAGGTTTGCACAGGGCTTGAAATATGGGTGCAAAGTTTCTTCCTTCCCTTGGAAGCTGCTGTGTCCTTTATAAAAGCACGCCGAGCCGTGGCGGCCTGCAGCCTAGTCCCAGCTCCTGGCATTTCATTGATACCGAGCAGCAAACCCGAGGCTGGCAGGAAAATGTGTAGAGCATTTGACACTTGTACGTGAGTCCCTTTCCTCCTCTTAAAGGGCCAGTAGCACTCGTAATCCTCTGTGTGGCCCAGCCAGCAACATGCTGAATCCTTCGTGTAGCCCAGCCCAACCTTAGAAATGAACAGTGCAGCATCCAGTAAAGTCCTGAGAATATTTTACAAGCTGCATATGATCACTTGTGTGTGTGTGTGTTTGTTTTGGTTTGTTTTAATTCTCCCCAAAGTGTTAGTAAAGGACCTTCTAAAAGGGATTTGTTTTAGACCCTTCTTCCATTGCCAGCAGGACATTTCTAACATCGGAGCATGTTGCACTGGCTTTCTTAAGACTGAAGAGCCCCCAACCCTTTTCTATGCAAAGTGAAACATCAAAAATACAAAGCACATGTTTCAGTAGTTGTCTAGCATGTTGTTTACACAGCACGTGGTATTTTCTGTAGTAGTCGGTGGGCAGAATGGACCAGTTTCTCAAAGCAGTCCCGAGTTAGTAAAAGAAGAGCCCACGGAAGTTTTAAAATTGTGTGTCTTTGCCAAGTAAACCTTGACTGCTCAATGTGCGTACTCCCGTGTTGGGCTTAGTATTTTAGCATTGTTTCATTTTTAAATCGAGGTATTTATTTTTTCCCTCCTCGCTTTGAAATTCAAAGTTTCCAGCACATCTTGCAATAGGGCAGCAGCAATCTTACAGTTATAATGACAGGTGTTGAAAGGGATTCACGCAAGGCAAAATGTAGGTATTGGTGAGTGACTTTTTAAGCAAACTGATTGGAGGTTTTACTCCCTCCTTTGTTTTCAAGTCATAATTCAGGACTAAGTCGTGAACAGGTTGTTGTTTAAGAAAGTTAACTTCGTGTTACAGACTCTGGTGGCCTCAGATGTGTCCGTTACTTTGGGAAAGCAATGGCGTGTCTGCATTTTTGTTTCTGTGCAACAAGCCATCCGTGTACCTCTAAATTTACCTTTTTCAAAGTTTCTGGCTACTTGATTTTATACTTTTTAAGAGAAGCAATAAGGGACAGCAATGCACTAACATCTATCTAGAACATGAAAAATATGAAGCCAAAAGACAGCATTAGCAGGTTAGAATATTTTTGGATATGCATCTTACTTCTCCATTTTTCCTCAATATTCAGCTCTTCAAGAATTAGTAATAGGATTTAAAAACAAATGAAAAATTCAATATCAGCTTCTGAATTTTAGCAAAAGTAATAGCATAAAAAGGAGCGTAAGGATTGCTCTACCTGCGTATTTAATGATTTATTGTTTTTAATGCATCTGGCACAAGATTAGCTGCATAATTTTGACTCTGAGATGGAATCTCCCTATAGCCTAAAGCAAGTTTTCTACCTTCTTTTTCTTCCACCTGGAAAATGGATATAGTAGTTAATTATCTAACTGCCTAGCTGTGATTGACAGTCATTTGACACTTGTAAAGCTCTTTTGAAAATGAAGGTAGATAAGCACCAAATATTTAGTTATGAAGTAGATAAAAAGAGTGAGTGAAGAAGCCTTTATAAAGACCCATTGCACTATTTAAAAATAATGCTAATATTAAAAACATACTTTATAAACCACATTTTGATGGCAAGCGTTATCATTTCATGACGATTCAGTACGTCAGCCACTCCGGGCCACATTCTCCATGCAAGTTATCATGGCTTCTTTGACTTCATCTGAGTTAGGACGAGTACACACATATGGGAAGCTGTATTATGAAATTAAGCCGTGCTGGAACCCCTTTTGCACCATGTGTTCAAGAACATTGAATTTGGCTGGCTCTTTCCCCAAGTAGTGTGGGCTCACACAGACCAGTGCATTGAGAGTTGGGTGTTTGATCCTGCAGCACTAACTCATGCCAAGTAGTCTCACGAAGGGGAAGCACTTGCAGACACACATGCTGCGTGTGTGTGGGCTGCAGCCCACGCCCTGGGTTTATGCATTCCACGGTATATCATTTCTTTTTGCAATGGGATGTTGTTTTTTCATTAAAAGGACCAAGAGAAGAACCCCACACAAGATTAATCTCCTGCGATGTTGACATAGGCTGAACTTTCCGTTTAAATAATTTTTCTGACAGTTTAAAAGAATCCACGGTTGGTATATGCAGTCTCCAGGGTATCACTAAGGGTCTGCTGCTTTTGAAGTCGCTTGCAGGCTTCCATTGACTGGAAAGCGTGCAGCATCACATCCAGAGTAATCACGCACCTCTGATATTAGGAAATCACGTGCTAGCTAAAATTCAGCAGCCTAAAAACGAAAAGTTTTGTAGCACTGCATGCTCATTATTTAGACTGTTTGTTTGCATTAGGAAAGTGCTAAATATACTTGATTAAGTTGCAAAAAAGGTGCATCACTGCCTTCTTGAATGAGAAGCAGTAAAATACGTACGTGGAAAAGACCGCTAAGTTGGCTGCAGATATTGGCAGGGTTCATTGTTGCACTGACTGAAATGAAGCTTTTATAAAAGTTACAGTTTTAAAATGTGTAAACAGTTTGGCACTGCTGAGAAGAGGGAAATTCCTGCTCCGGAGAAAGCATGAATAGAAACACAGCTGCCAAGTAGGATGAGAAGAGGGGAAAAAAAACCTGTTTAGAAACCTCCCTGTCCCCCGAGGGAGAGAGGAGTGTGTTATATCACTTGTCCAGCTGATTTCAAGGAACAGTGCTTGACTGATCTCACTAAGTGCAGACCTGGGCTTTTGCTGCAGAAAGCATGGCGTCAAAGGGTGGGGGCGAGGGTCAGCCAGAGTGCTGGGCAGGCTGGGGAAGCCCCGGTGAAGAGCCTCCTGCCTTGTATATGGTGTGTGTATTGTTCTGCTTTTTTCAAAAGTTTTCTCCCTATGGCTTCTTGTGCAGGTGAAACCCGCATGCGGTTCTATGGCTTGCTGGTGAGCGGTCTTTACACTCCTCAGACCCTTCCCGTAGGCAACGAACAGGATGCCTCGCCCACGGTGAATGAAAATCTGCAGGTATAGCGTGCCCCGATGCATTTGAATAGTATGGTGTAGAATCTAACAGACAGACGGGCCTTCACGAAAGGAGCTTCTCGCATTGACGTTGATTTTGTGCCCTCTCTGCGGAGGTTATAGTCACTCATAGTTATCTAGGGCTCATTCCTTGCAAGCGCTGTGCACAGGATTGCTCTGGACAAGACTATCTCCGTCTTTGGGGCAGGGCTCTGTGCCCGGGTCTAAATAAGAAGGTGGCGATTCGTGCAGAGCCAGCGGGCTGCAGTTCAGCTCGCTCGGCTGGGGCCGTCCATAGAGGTAGTCGCACTGCTGTTGGTGGCAGGTTCGCAAGGACACATTTGGTCCCTTGCATGGGCGACTGGTGCCTCACAAGTCTGGGGGGGCACCGGGTCGCCAACCAGGGCAGGGGGGTCCCCCAGCGGCCGATTGCCAAGCCAGCGGCAAAACTGGAAGTGCTTCCAGGAGGTGCACGGCCGATCTCGCGGGGGGGTGTGCACCCCTGTGCACCCCCTACACATCGCCAGTGGTCCCTTGCCTGAAGAGTTACCTCCAATGGGTGCATGTGTTTAGGGTTTGCTAGAGGGGTGTACGTTTATCATGATTCTTTCTAAGGGTTAAAATTTCGTTCCTGCCTGCTTCCTATCTCAGAAATGCCAGGCACATTCAGCTTGGTTCTTCCCTAGGCTCTCTAGGGAGCTGACGATGTTTCTCTCATGCTCTCAAATGAAAAGATCATAGAGGTGTTGCAGCCTTAAAAATGACGTCGCTTCTCCGCAGTGTCCATTCATCATCAGAGTCAAACAGGTGTTAACAAAAACGAAAGCCAAAATTTCCCAACCCGGGATTCCTAACGTTAGGGTCCCGGTGTACCCTTCCGCACCAGGTCGCCCGCTCCCGCGTGGAGCCTGTTGAGATCTGAGAGATGGGAGGGTCAGCTTGCCTTTGTTGGGCTCGCTTTCCGGGTTGGGGCCCAGCCGTATTGAGTGCACCGAGTTCCTGTGACTTGTCCACATTTATTTAGGCTCCTGGTTGTCGAGTTAGGAGCTGAACTTTAGGCATCCAGGTGTGAAAGATTTGCTAAAGGTCTTGAACCTGTTAACCATAAATCATTTCCCTCCTTAGCTGCTCTGATTTCCTTCTTTCAACTCTGCTCATGCCCCAGTTGCACTACTTCTGAGGTTGCCACAGAGCTTTATGCAACAGGCACCACTTGATTACTGACTGCAAGAGCCCAAATGAGGGGAGGGGGAAGAAACTCTTTTTTTTTTCCCATTCAAGTTCAGTCCCCCGATATAAAACCCCCAAATCCAGCACTCGGCCAAAACCCGCGAGGCCTCCTTTCTCTATCATAAAGAGGCCCGGTGTTCTCTCCCCTCCAGCAAGTCCCCTTAAAACGTGGGAAGGACGAGGCTGCCCTTTTATGAGGACCTGGTCCTGCAAAGGTGCTGAGTGCTTGCTCTTAGGCACCTTCCACTCCAGCTCACTTCAAAAGGAGCGATCGGTGCTCGGCATTTCGCAGGGGCTGCTCCTTGCCGCCCGCCCGCAGGCCCCGAACGGAGGTGCCCTTTCACCATGACTAGCTGGGCACGGTTCACAGTGAAACACCTGCTGGTTATGGCTAGCAGTGAGCACTGGGAAACAGTCGCAGCCCAGTTGTTGTCAAAAGGTTCTTGTCCGCGTGTTGGGTTACTGGAATTTAATGAATAGTATTACTGGGGATTCATTGATTCCTTGACTGATTTATTATTTAAATTTTTTTTTTCCCACCCATGGGAGTTTACCCACTAAACAATAGCTTTTTAGTAATGCTATTAGGAAATTATTCATTAGATACCTTTTATTCTATTTTTTTTTGCCAAGGAACCTGCTAATACGCTGTACAAATTATAGTACGGTGGCTTGAAATTCCTTAATTTCCTTCCTGTCCCCTGTTACAGTTCCCTCAGCCTCCTGAAAGCCCCTTCTTCGCGGGGGGTGGACCCAAAGCCTGTTGAAGTTGGTGGAAAGACGCCCGTTGAGTTTGGTGTGGTGGGTTTTGGATCTGGTTTGCAGGTGTCACTAGAACCGCGGTCCCGGGCAGCAGCAGCCAAAGGCAAAGGGGATTGATACACAAGTGGATTGTAGGAGCAGACATGACCTAGGCTGGCCTTTAAACCGTGCGAGGACATGGGTGGAAGATCTTTAAAGAGGAAAATGTACCAACTCCCCGATCGCTTTGGCTTACAATAGTCAAACTGTGCTGTGCACCGGCAATAAGCAAGCCAGCCTAATGAGAGGTGCGTGCGACTGTCAGACAGGTGGGAGCCCCGGGGAAAGCCTGGCCCTGCTGCTGTGTGTGTAAAACCACTGGCATGCAAAGTGTACAGAAACTATTAGCAGGTGATTCAAGGGTCCCATTTAAATACTAATACTTGACAGGGGAGTAGCCAGAGTATCATCTCAATAAATTCTCTTGCCTGGCTGCTCAGCCGGTCCTTTGTTTCTGTTGCTGCTATCTTCGAACCCGGTCCAGCACTCGCTGCTGTGAGCGGGGCTGGGCTCGTGCCTGCTGTCTGGCCCATCTTCCTTACTGAAAATTGCTTAGAGGTCTGGTGTTTGGCACGACACCGAGATGACTGAGATCCATCGGAGAGGCCCCCGCCCATTCGATTGGCTTCAGATTTGAATTGGACTCTTCCTATAAACCTCCAGGTGTGCCTTGGAAGTAAATCTCATTGAGGCAGGTGATTTGGCTGTTCTGCTATGTCCGTGGATTTGTTTTTCAAGCTCCCTGATGGGGAACCCGAGCATTAGTGTTTGTGGGGTTTCTTTTTCTTTTTGAAAAACACCAGGGTTTTTAGGAGCTCAAACCCAACCTCTTTCCATGCGCTGGAGAAACGTGCCCCTTTCTCTCCTGCTGGAGCTCCGCGAGCGGTGGATGGGGAAGTCCTGCTCCCGCGGTCGCCCCAACAAGAAGCCCCGTGGACTTCGGCCGCTCCCAGCCTTGCAGACGGGCCGGCTTTTTGGTCCGATTGCAGCCCCCGGCCCAACGCAAGCGTGCCTTTGGTTTGGCTTTGTTCGTATGTCAGCGGGTTGACCCGAGTCTCTTCCAGCTTCAGAAAAAAGTTCTTGGCCTCTTGTTTCAGGGGCACTTGCCTTTATTGACACACTTATTTATTCCCTAGTTACTCCTAAAATAGCCAAACTGTTGGTGGCCAATTTGTATGTACTTACCTGCAGCATTTTCTGTGCACACCTTTGTATTTATCTGATGCTCTGGGCCTTTAACAAAAGAATAAATAGCATTTGCCCATTCTTTTTTCCTACAGATCCTTTCCTTGTGTTTTTTCCCCAAGTAACTACCTCTAGGCTCTTTTTTAGAGATGCTAGGACTGCTGCTGCTGTTAAAATCAGCAGTTAGTTTGGGCGGGCCGCCTCTCTGGAAATCAAACAAAAATGGTTTTTAAAATTGCATTGTATAGATTTTCTTTTTCTTTTTTTTTTTATAGCTGACGGAGTCTCTAAAACGCCTGAAAGACAGTAACCTTTCTTCTGCGGGATCATCCGTCACCCCAAACAGTAGCACCCCGTTTTCCCATGACACAGCCTATTCCAGCTGTCGGCAAGACACCCCAAACTCATACAGCCAATATACCCCCCAGTCCCAAGGCACCCCCCTTACCCCGCGGCTGGGGACTCCGTTTTCCCAAGACTCAACCTATTCCAGTCGTCAGACGACACCGGTGTACCATTACGGACAGGACTCTGGGTATAAACCCAGGAGACACGACACAAAATTTACAGATGCCTACAATAGACGGCAAGGACATCACTATGTCCATAACTCGGCAGGTGTTTACAGAGGGTCGGAGCATCAGTTTAACACATACAAATCTCATCAGCCAGAGCCAGTACAATATTCTCACACTCCTTCCTTGAGCCATTCTGGCTCTTCGAGTTACAAATCTGCCTTCTCTCCGTACCAAGCGCCAGCTGTATTTCCTCAGTCCGAGGAGCAGCAGTTTCCCCAGACTTCCAGAGATGCTGAGTACCGAAGACCCGCGCCACCGCCGGCTGAGACGGCGGCGGAAGGTAGCGCTGCTACCAACGTTGATTTTGTCCCTGTGAAAGAGAAGCAGGAGGAACCCCCGCCCCTGCCAGAATCCAACTGTGTTACTGAGCAAAGCACGGCGTCCTTCTCTCAGACTCCAGAACGGAGCGAGACGCCTGGCACCCCCACCATGGAGTCTGAAATGCAGCATAACAGTTTAGACTCAAGGATCGAGATGCTCTTGAAGGAGCAGAGAACAAAGTTACCTTTCCTCAACGAACACGACTCGGACAATGAGATCCGCATGGAAGGCAGCCCCATCTCTTCCTCCTCCTCCCAGCTCTCCCCAATCCCCATGTATAGTTCCAACTCCCAGCCCAGTTACCGAGGTCAGACACCATCCTCGCGCCCCTCCAGCACTGGCTTGGAGGATATTAGTCCCACGCCATTACCAGACTCCGATGACGATGAGCCCATCCTTGGGGCACCTGCTCTGGGCCAGAATTCAAGGGCAACATCAGAGGCCAGTATGACTCCTATCGATCAGCTGAATAGGACGTCCAAACCTGAGACCTCTGAAACCAAGGAAATGGTGCCTGGTGACCGGAGTCCAGCGTCAGAAAAAATGGATGAGGTAAGTGAGATGGGCTCTGCAAACGTTGTACGTGCACCGGGGAAACAGAGTCGGGGCAGGCTCCCGCGCGTGCCGACTGTGGTCTTTAGAGCCTTGCACGGGGGGGAGCGCCACATTAAAGCCTGACATGACTCGGGCTGTCGGTAGCGGGTTAGAGGAGACATGACGGCGCCGGTTGACAGGTGTTTGTGTTCAAGCACAGCCCCTGCGCTGGGCCGTTGCAATAGAGAGCTCCAGGATTGAACAGGCTTAAGGGATTCAACTCCCCGCTTGTCCTTGGGGTGACCCCCCCCCAGATCGAGTGGGACGTTGCATTGCTACTGCTCACCTCGCGCTCGGCCTGTGGAGCAACACCAGAGCTGCCCATCTCCTCCTCACCAGCTCTGAAGTCCCTTTTGAAATCCTTCTCTCTTGGTCCGGTGGCTGTTGGAGCATTTGTACCGCCGGGTTTGAACAGGTTCCCATATGCTCTCTCCCCAAGCCACTTAACAGTGCAGAGGTACTGGCCCATTGGGCATGGCTTCCGCCACGGCTTGAACGACAGGCAGAGCTTTCTGCCTCTAACGGGGCATTTGGGGATGAAGGACATCAGGAGCTTAACCATGTGGCATGGTGCCAGAGAAGCTGCTTTGCAGTAAGCATTTATTTGATAGTTCAGTGACAATAAACAGGAGTAGTTTACTACAACGTGCATTTGGGCCCCAGGAAAACATGTCAGTTATGGTCAAAGGATAGCCGTTCAGGAGGGCCGGACCCCGTGATTTCTTTTATAGCAGCAACTTGAGCAGGTGAAAGTGGTGTATCATTTGAGTGCAGGGAAGAAAGCTATTCAGGGGCCTGGCTGGTATTCTAGATTGTGTTCCTTTATGAGAAAGCAACAATGTAAAAGATGGAATGCAATTTTTTCTGCATTAATTTTTTAATGCAATTAAATTGAATTTAAGATCCACGCCCTTTATTTCTTATTCGGCTGAAAATATTGCCACGCACTAGTAAACAGTTGCCCTACGTTTCCACCCCAGAGGTAGCTGCATTTCGGCAGGCTGCGCAGCTCTTTCTGCACAGCTCCGCTTTGCAAAGTGTTGTGGATTCTTTGGACGAAAGACACTGTAATAATAATAATGCAAGGCATGTCGAAATGTTAACAGGCTGGGAGAAATGTCTCCCTCCTGGCTTCTGGTTGTTTGTTTTACACTTGGAAATGATGCCAGATATTTTGTGTGTGTTGTAAGTACACTTCCAAACCCCTCTGAACTTGGAGCTGCAGGGCTAGCCTTAGCAGCGGTTCTGCTGTTGGGGCTCCACGCCTGGTGCGGGCTGACCCGGATTCCCCCCTCCTCCTCCTCCCCTGCAAAACGCCCATGGCAGTGTGACTGGAAGGGAAGCGACTGGTATGACGCATTCCCCAATATGGTTTGGAAAGCAGGTTTCTGAACCATCCCACTGGTCCTTCCACATTGTGAGAGGGATGCTCTAGTATCTTAAAAACCCCAAACGATTTGCAACTAGCTCATTTGCAGCAGGCGACTCTGTATGATCTCTTGGGCGTGAGGGGCTTGGATCTACTCTCCTGCTTTTTATTTGCTTTTTTTTTCCTTCAACTGCTGAGTGTTTCAGCCACTAGTTAAGAAGAACGGGTGAATGCCAACCTGGCATGTTGGGACTTTCTACAGCTGAGCTGTTAGCATCCCTGACCAGCCTCGGGAAAGCTTGCTGACCCGTTACACTGGCCGCCCATAGTATGGGGCAAGCCTGCGCCTAGGTTGTAGCCTGCATTCAATCTTTGTCTCTTCTCACTGAAAGGCAGGTGTCAGTTTATCTCTACAGGCTTTTTGTCCCGAGAAGAGCAGCTTCTAGGAGCCTGGTTTAAAAGTAAAAGAGACGGTGATGACCTCTAGCCCCTGCAGCCGTTTCCTAACCCACACAGCGAGCTTTTCTTTGCAGATCTGGTTGTTTTGGGCACCGTGTTCTTCAAGTATCGTCCCTAGCTCCTCCCGGGCATTCAGAAACCCGTGCGCACCTTCCATTGCTCGCTTAGGGTGCGCAAGAGCATCTCCCTTTGCTTCCCCCCTTTCCATTGTTTTTCACATTAGGAATGGTAGATCTTGGCTTCCCTCTCTCTCGCTGGAGGAGAGGAATTGAATAGTGCCTCCTCCGCGGGCTGAAATTTGAGCTGCAGCTTTCCAAGCGAGCTAGAAAGGAGTGTCGAGCCTTACGCCATCTAAAGGGCTGGGAAAGCTGAAACTTGGGCTTCAGCCTATTGTGCCGTGGCACTGCTCGGCTCCAGTCCTTCAAAGAACCCTTCAGCCAAGCAGGGGAAGCTGGCACCTCGCGTGCGGTCAGCGTGAAGGGGGAGAGGGGAAGAGCAGAGCAGCAGTCCTGTGCTGGGGACGGCGCTAGGGCCTGTAGTTCTCGTTTTTATGCGTGGTAAAAAAGCAATAAGAGGCAGAGACCTTTGTTTCCTTCATAATCCACTTTTTAAGCGGTGGAACGTGGCCTGATCTGCAGGCCGAGAGCACGCCCCATAGCAGGCTGCACGCTGGCTGTGAAATCTCGGTGCTCGCGAAGATTAAAAAAAAAAAAAGGGTAGCAAGGAAGCCTTTGTGTGAGGTGGCAGCAGGTTTTCCAGGGGCTGCTCCTGCTTCCATCAGAGCGGAAGGAAGTTTTACTCGCGCCGTCCGACTCCTGTCTGCAGGTAGCAAAACTTGTCCTCTAGCCAGAAGCACCGCGCGCTCCACATCCAGGCAGAAGGCTCAGGCTTGCAATGACCGAGGTTATAATGAAGAAGGCGAGACCCGACTCCCATTAATAACTACTTCCATTTACCGGGCAACACCCCTGAGTTTAATCCCAGCTCTGGTCTGTTCCTCCCTGAGCTGGCCGGACTGGGCTGAGCCTAGCACCATGCACCGACCTGCAGACACGTTTCTGGTTAAGTGATTATGGTCCGCAGAGAGCGTCGCGTTTGAGACTGGCCGGAGGAAGGGAGCTAGGAGGGAAAGCCCGAAGTAGAGCTGAAATGTGGGTAGAGAGAAAAAAGGAAGGACTCCTATGCGAGGAGCGCACACACAAATGCAAGGCAGTGTTTGGGAAGTATCCAGCATTGTCCTGGGCAAGGGAATAGAAACCAGGGCGTAAAGCCGGTTAGCTGCAACGCTGGCTCAGGAAGATTGTGAAGCCGACGCCAACCCGACTCTTCCTGTCTTTCTGGTAAACCGGGAGGTGGCGGCTGCCATCGGCAGTGTCGTTTGTTCTTTCCAGCTGCGGGGTTTTGGAAGTGCAAGAGTTAAGTGTGCAACGTCCCAGCTGAGCCAGGGCGTGTTTGTGCTGGGCCTGTTACAGGAAGAGGCCCCCTGCGTGCGCTCGGGAGGGCGGGAAGATTAGAACAAGCCATTTCCATGTTTTGACGCTGCCTTTCACATCCCCGTGCCCGGAGACGCTGGGTTTTTATTCCGGTAGCAACAGTGTCATCTGGTTAGACCTTCCCCAGTGCAAAATATCTCGGTGTCCTTGCGATTTGGATAGACCCTGAGACACCGTAACCTTGTGCGCTTTATAATAGATGTGCCAGTCATGAGAGCAGGGCTCCTCTGCAATAGTAATGAGGCATAACAGCTCGGTGCTGCTGCCGTGCTCGCTGTGACTCGAACAAATGGTTCGTGAGAGAAATGGAAACCGCACCAGATGCAGCAGTCCTGGCGACACCTAGAAAGTGCTGCTGGAACCGGCTTCCCCGTCAGACCGCTTCGGTTTCCGTGCAGCGCCTGCCTTTTCTTTGTCAGCCGATGCCAGGGTGCCTCTTCGCAGGCCTGTGTCAACCTCTCTGTGACAAATCACATTTGCATAACAGCGTGGTCTTTTCAGAGCGATTTGAAGATGCTTTCTACATCTAAAGTTGCAGATCAGCATGAATTAAAAGCGCCCAGCTCATTCCAGTACCGCAGTGCCAGGGAAGGCCCTGAAGGTTTGCCCTTTGTGTCCAGATACGGTTGAGATTTGTTCCTGCCTGGCCATGCCTAGGGTTGGAAGAGGCAAAAGTGGCAATACTAGACAGGGCAACTCGCTTTTACCCCCTTAACATCCCTCTGCAGGTGTAACCGGTCCGACAGTCTTCTTCCTCGCCACCTCCTGTTCAGGAGCTGCTGGACTCCCATTCCCAAACCCGAATGGCCAGTGGATTCCTGCTTTGAATCCTGCCATTGACGGGTGTGACTATTCAAGGGGGTAAAAGCAATGCCAGCTCTGCTTCTAATACGGGAGCTACCCCGCTAGCAACGGGACGGACCTGAACTGGCTTTTCACGGCCGTGCTGCACAGTCCAGCCGCTTGCTCTGGGTGTTAATGCCGCTGACCCAGGCGGAAGAGCCTCTCTCCTCAAGCGAGGTGCCCATGCCGGGCTGGGTAGGGTCTGCCTCGTTATATGTAAAGTGTTGTGGGATCCTTTTAACGACATACAGACAACGAAGGTGGAAGGGAGCTCAGGAGTCCACCCGCCCGCTCTAAGCAGGACCAGCCCCACCTACATCATCCCAGCCAAGGCTTTGTCTGCCTGGGGCTTCAAAACCTCCAACGATGGAGAGTCCCCTACCTCTCTGGGGAGCCTGGTCCAGTGTTTTACTACCCACCTAGTGAGAAAATCCTTCCTAATATCTAACCGAATGTCCCTTGTTGCAGCTTGAGACGGTTGCTCCTAGCTCTGTCGGGAGAACATGCTGCTGTACGAGTGAATACGGGCCACCCTCCCATTCAGGTTTGTTGAGGCTGGGCTGTATGTTTTTACTGAACAGCACAAGGTAGTTATTCAAGGCAAAAACCCCCAACAATGTAAATGCACATTTAAACCTTAAGAGCTAGTAAGTTCAAAGCCGTAGTTTCCACAGTAACAGCAGCGCAGCCCCCATGCCCCTTGTGTGCACAAGTAGGTGTTATATAGGTATGTAACGTATATGCACACCTGGGATCCAGGTTATAATAAGAGTGGGGAGTGTCACTCGCAGAGC